GAGGGATGGACACTGGGAAGAGGTAACTATGGGGAGGAAGTGGGAGGGGAGCTGTTGCATTGTGGTAAACTGTGGTCAATGACATGAGACAAAGAATATGTGAACCACTGTATGGAAAGTGAATTTGCTCTGTAAATCCTCACCCAAATCAAAATAAAATTTTTAAAAATAACAATAATAAAAAAAAAGACCCCCCCCCCCCCAAACAAAAACACTGTAAGGCCACTGCCTTGGACTGAATGACCCAGAGCAAGAAGCCAGTCTCAGTCTTGGGAATTCAGTAGGGCCTGGTGGTATAGAGTATAGATTTTGGAGAACGAATGATCCTGCCTTCCGCATCAGTAGCAAATACCTCACCTCTTTGGGCCTTGATCCCCTCACCAGGAAAACTGGAGCCTTGATAGCACCTGCTTTGGCAGACAATGGCTAGCTGCTCATATAACCCATTGTCTTTTCCTACCAGGCCCATGGCTAGAATACTGTTATGGTTCTTTGAAGACATTCAGTTAAGTCATATCAGAGTAGTGTGAGTCTTGGTCTTAATCTCCTCTGAGTGGTTTCTTACAGGAGGGGAGACCAGACATGAAAGAAAAAGTCCCACATACAGGAGGAAGACGGCATATAAGGAGCATGTGCAGATCTGTCTATAAGCCAAGGAATGCTCAAGAAATGCCTGGGGCTACAGAAGCTGAAAGAGGCCAGGAAAGATTTTTCCCTAGAGAAGAGAGAAAAAGAGAGATATAGAGCAAAAACATACAGCATTGTGGAAGTCCTATGAGAAAAATTTCTGTTCTTTAAAACTACTTGCCTTGTGGTATTTTGTTATGGTAGAACTAGGAAACTGAGACAACTACAAGTCCCAGCTTCCCTTGCAGTTATGTGTAGCCTGTTGACTGACTTCTGGCCAGTGGAATAATGTGACCCACTCCTAGACCAGCCCATTAAAAACCTCCCAGGTGTTTTTTTTTTTTTTTTTTTTTCCTCTTCTTCTTCTATTTAGTAGAAGTAGTATTTTAGTTATGGTTGTTGTTAGTTTAGTTGTTATCATGTCTGTTCCAACTCATGACGACCCCATGTATGCAGAGTGGAAATGCTCTATAGGGTTTTCAAGGCTGTGAATTTTCAGAGGCAGATTGCAAGGTCTGTCTTCTGAGGTACCTCTGGGTGGGTCCCAACTGCCAATCTTTTCAGCTGAGCACTTATCCATTTGCAGCACCCAGACAACCACATTTATAGCAGTGATATGGATTTCCACTTAAAAACAAATGTCTTTCTGTTTAAAGTATTAAACCAACAAACAAAATGCCTCCCTGGTGGGTTCCTCCATGCTCTTGGCTCCTTCCAGCTGGATGGAATGAAGACAGAGAGCCTTCGTCACCAGGGTCCCTGAGTGTAGGGTAACTACAAGGGGGAGGGCAGCCTCGAACAACACTGTCCAACCAGCCCAGCATGGTTGCATGAACAACTCATGAGCAATGGCACAGCAACTTCTGCGGGCTGATTCTCAATTCCTCAGTTGTCTACTCTGTAAATGTATTACCTGTTTAGGACAATTCTCTTTGTGTCCAACAGGAGCCAGGACAACTCACAGCTGCAAGTGAGGGGGTTGCCAAAGAGGTTAATAGACAGGACCTGGGAGGAATCCAATGTCCAAGGAGGAAAGGAACTCAAGTTGCAGCTGAAATAAACAAACAGAATCAAACAATCAGGTTAGTCTGCTTTTCTCTGGGTTTGGATTGTTTTTCTCCTCTGGCACTCATCTGATGAGCTTAGAATATACAGTGAAACTTGTAAGAGCTGGATCTCGATGGATTTGCCTTGTTTTTCCAGTTCTCACCAATTTTCTGCCTTTGATAGGATGCAATCTTACCACTTTTGTATTGTTCTCTATTAGTGGAAAATAGTTGAGTTTTCCTTCTCTGACAGGTTTCTGCCTTACACAGATTCTGGCTTTTGTAGGTTTTACTGTACAGATCTCCTTTGGAGGTATGGGTCAATCATCCCCTTCTTGGAGAAGCTTCCCTGATCCAGTCAGGTGGAGCTGATCATTACCCTACTTGCCTTATAACACAGTGTGTGCCTCTGTTACTGATCACAATGGAATGTGATAGTTGGCAGATGTCTGCTGCTTACCCTGAACAGGGAGCTCCTGAAAGCAGGGAGCATGTTGTCACCATCACTATCAGCTTCATCACCATCACCAAAATCACCACTATCCTCCTCATTATCATCATTAACACTGCTACTACTATCATCAGTCTCATCAACATCATAACCATCACCACAACCACCAACACTATCATCACTGTCACCATTATCATCACTAGCACCAATTTACCATCACTACCAACATTATCACCATCACCACCACCATCACCATAATCATGATCACCACCATCTTCATCATCACTACTATCCTCATCATCACCACCACCACCATCATCTTCACTAATGCCAGGCATTGAGCTAAGTGCACTCCTTGTACTCCCTCCTTTCCCTTGTGAGAAGCCTTAACGTGAAGCACCACTGTTATACATCACTTTACAGATAAAGGAACTTCACTATGTTTGTATTCCTGACACTTGACACAGTTCCTTTGCATGCTCAATAGCTATTTGTTGAATGAAGGAAATAATGAGTAAATGGTTCCACCTTTGCTTTTGAACCACTGTTAATGCTTTTGGAAGAATAATTCCACTTTTCATAGTTGAACTATATAAAACTGAGATAACAAGATCAGCTCCTAGATTTCCCAGGGATTTTTAACAATAACATTGCTTTCATCCAACAATACCTGCTTTTTTAACACTTCCATTACATTACCTTATTGGACCCTGAGAGGCAGGTAAGGTAGGTATTATTACTACTCTTTTGTTGATGAAAAATATAGTGGGTTGGCCAGCACAAAATCTCACAGCAGAAGTGAGCTGATGCCATTTCTAGTATTTTATACATGGCCATGGTCACAGAAATAGCTGTCAAGTAACAGGATGTTTAAAATGGGATTGTTGCAGTCTCAAGTTTCGACAGAGACTACAAAAGGCGGAGAACCACGCATGGGGTGTAAAGGGCATACATTCTAAAGTGAGGCACTAGATTGTGTGTAGGACAAGCAAAGAGACTGAACAATGTGTTATGTGGACCTATCACCCACAAGCTTTAAGAGAAGGAGCCAGAAGGTGGAAGAGTCCAGGCAGTGAAGACCCCCAACTACAATGATGAAAGGCGGATGTATTTTTTTAAGCCAAATGAAGCTTCCTTTCCTGGAACTTAAGCCAATTGAGTGAGCAGGCTTCAAGACTACATCTTGGAAAATGTCCCTGAGATCTGCTGCATACAAGACTTTGTCTGACTCTTTTGTGAGAAATCTTAAGATAAGAGGTTAGTTGGACCTAGCAGAGAAAAGAAAAGTGGCTGCATATAGGGCCAAGGTACCTACCTCCCAGGGCTCAGGTGTGGGTCCCAAGGAAAGGAGGTAGCCAGGGATAATCTTCAAAGAGATATTACCCTTCCAGGTAGAAGTAAGGATAGTGGCTACTCTTGGGAAGGAGGATGGGTGTGGTAACACTTTGGACACTCACCAACCCCAAATCCCAACTGCAAATAGAACTTTTACCACTCATTTACCTTTCCTCCCTAAACCTCCTTAAACTCTGGACGGGACTGGACGTGCATACCCTCTGAGGAAAGAAAAGGATACGGAAAGAGGGAAGAACTGGATCCTCTCATCCACTCTTCCCCACTACAGCTTCCCCAGCCTGGGCTTTGGTACAGAAAAATCTTTAAGTGCAGAAGAGTGTTGAGTTTTAATAATACACTGGACAGGACTAAGTGGCATGATTATTAGGCTGATGGACTATCTAGGATTTGCCCAAGGATGAGGAAGAATAAAAGCCCAGAGAGGATTCCAAGAAGCAAGGGGAGAAAAAAATGAAGGTCTCATTTGTTCAATAAAATAGTTCCACATATTCAACACAGTGCATTTGGCAAAGTTTAGTCATGTCTCAGAAACACTTACTTCTGGAAAAGAAGAGCTTCACTTACTTCTGGAAAAGAAGAGCTTGTAGGCGAGGTGTGTCTTCAAAGATGTGTGTGTGGACAGAGATGAGGGCTGGGGAGTCTTGACAGTCCAGCCGCTGTACGTTGGGGGTCATCTTGAAAATGTTCCCCTCCAGGTTCCTCAGCCTGGGCATCTTCCTCAGGTAGAAGGATGTGAGATTTGGCAGGTCTCTAATCCACTCTGAATGAACTGAAACACAGAGAGGAAACTGTCTACTACTCAAGGAGGCAAAATTCCAGGAGGACAGCATGTCATTAAGGAACAACAGGAGTGACAAGGTGATTCATGAAGAAGGTCATTGCTGATTACAGGCACAGTTAACAGTGTTGGGAATATCAGAAGCATAGACCATTTAGGCCAGAAGAGTCTTCATAGATAGTCAGTTCTTTCTCCCACCTCCTACCATTTTACAGATAAAGCAGTCAAGGACAGAGAAGAAAATGATTTGTCCAAGATTACATAACTGGGAAGGGATAGAGGAAGGACTCAAACCTAGGACACTTGTCTCCAAATCTGCTGCTGGCCACCCGCTCTAGTTAGACTCTACACAAAAATAACCCAGACTTCACTCTCTGATGACTACCAGGAGTGGGGCTAATTTTAGGGGAATGCAAGTAAAGAGCTCTTGGGTGGTGCAACCAGTTAAGTGCTTGGATGCTAACCAAAAGGTTGGAAATTCAAATCCACTCAGAGGCACCTCAGAAGGTAGGCCTAACAATCTACATCCAAAAAAAATCCTCCACTGAAAGACCCTGTGGGAGCAGTTTTACTCTGACACATACGAGGTCATTATCAGGTCATTATCAGGGTTCACTTGATGACAAGTTTCCGCCCCCCCCAACATAAGGAGAAGAGGGAGGAGCAAGGCAGAAGGCTCAGAATCTGATTGTGTGATTCTCGTAATAAGTGGAGGAAGAGTGTGCCCCTTCCCCTCTGCGTTTCCCAATGTTTTGTTTTCTCTTTGTGGTAGAACAGGTGCTTACAGGCAGACAGAGTGTTAGAAATATAAATAAATAAAACCAGCCTTGCAAATCAGAGTTCCAACACCAGGAGCACTGACTGGTATTCTTACCTCTTTCCCACATCTTGTTTGGATGATTCCTTACTATGACAGAAACAATTCTAGCCAACTGAGTGGAAAAATCAATGACTCCATCCTCAAAGCACCAGTTGCTTTATGTTCAGTGAATGTTTGGTGCTAAGTTCATCCATTAATCAGCCCCAAAACAATTCACTCACTACTCCATTTTGTACACATTTATCTGGCTATGCTGGGCTACAGAAGAGCAGCTGATCTGCTAAAATTTGGGCTCTGGACCCAGGAAGGCCTGGGTTCGAGTTTGGACATACTACTAAACCAGCCGTGGGAGCACGAGCAAATCACTTAATCTTTCTGGACCTTGATTCCCTCAAATACAAGACGGAGATTATACTAGTTCCCACCTCTTAGGACTTCACGAGTCCTAAGCTACCGTGTGGCACTTCCTCAGCTTGGCTCAAGAAATCTAGTTGGCGTTATGTTTGAGACTTGACAAGTTCTTTCTCCCACCTCCCACCATTTTACAGATAAAGTGGCAAAGGCCAGAGAAGAAAATTATTTGTCCCAGATCATATAGCTGGGATGGGCTAGATGCAGGACTCGAATTTAGGACATTGTGCACGAGGCACCGGAATCACCCTTCAAGGAAGAACACCACCCTGTTCCTGGAGCTCATGCCCAGCCCAGGCTCTGAGCACACGTCGGCTGAAAACCTCGGCCGCCCTAGACTCACCGCGCGTGAGGAACGTGCCACTGAGGTCCAGGACCTCGAGCGTCTCCAGGGCCCTGCCGTCTACTCCAGCGAACGCCGCCTCTGCGATGGCCTCATGGCCTCCGTAGCCCAGCTCAGTGGAGGAGAGGTTTAGAAAGCGGAGCGCCGGGAAGCAAGAAAAGGCCCCGGGCTGGAGCGCCCGCAGCGGGTTCCCGGCGAGGTGCAGCGCACGGAGGCTGCGCAGCGCGGCCCTGGAGTCACAGAGCGGCAGGGCGGCCAGCCGGTTATAGCTGAGGTCCAGCTTGTGCAGGTCCGCCGGCCCGCCAGGGCCCCAGCGCAGCTCCACGATGTGGTTGTGGCGCAGTGTCAGCACCTGCAGCTGGGGCAGCGCGCCGAGCTCCTGCGCACTCAGGGCGTTTAGCAGGTTGTGGCTGGCGTCGAGGCTGCGCAGCGCGCGAGGCAGGCAGCTGGGCAGGCGCTCGAGGCTGCGGTTCACGAGAGTCAAGGAGGTGGTCTCCGCGGCGGGGATCCCCTCGCAGGGAGAGCCCGTGGCGTTGCTGTCGCCGTCCTCCCAGGGGCCCCGCTGAGTGAGCCGGAAGAGCGGGACCCTCTCCTGTGGAGGCTCTGCCAGGCTCAGTAGCAGCGTAGGCGACAGCAGCAGCAGCAGCATGGCCAAGCACATGGCGCGTGGCTGGGGAAAGAACAGTGAGGTGGTCCATTAATACCTGCGGAACGGGGGAGAAGTGTGCCCCTCCCAGGGGCCCGGACGGAGCCCACGCCCCGGGCGTTTTCTCAAGGGCCGGGACGTTCCAAGCATCAGTGGGCGCTTAATGTCTCTGCCCTGCCTGCTTTTCATTAGCTCCCCCGTGTGCACTGTGCCACCACTTGCCTTCAGCAAACCCTGCCTTCTCCCTGTGACGTCCTTTTCCTCTTCTTTGCCTAAGGTCTAGCACCCAAGGTAGACCTCTCCTGGCTCCCTTATTTGTCCGGTCTGAGCCTGAACTTCCCAGTAACCACCACCATTTACTTGTCCCATCCCTGTGAGCTTCTGCAGGGAAAGGAACTGTCCCTTTATCGTTGTAAATGCTCCCCAGGTGCACAGAAGCTTCTCCACAGCATTTATTCAACCGGAGCCAGTGAATGAGTCTGTCAGGAAGAAGATCTGCTGGGATATAAGATTTTGTCAATTCCAAGGAAACTCCAGCTGCCACTGTTTTTCGGCTTGTAACTGTCCAGGTGCTGAGAGTCCTGGTTTGCCTGTGATCTGGTCTTCAGATCACATTTAAAAATCAGCTCTGGGGTCCTTTTCTTGGGAAGGCACTCAAGGTTACCTTCAGGAGAGGAAAGGAGCCCCCAACCAGCTGTAAAGGTTAGGAACCTACAATCAAATATTTCCTGGCCCCATGTGGATTCCTACAAAAGCAAGAGCCCCCAAGGCCAGCCCAGCTCTGGAGGGATGACTGAGAGTGGCTAGGTGTGGGAGTGTCTGGAGTACCCAGGATTCTACAAAGCAGCTAGGAGTTCAGGAAGTGCTAGATCAGGCGGTCTGTGGCATCAAAGCTATATCCAACCAAGTGTTGGCCTCCCGGTCACTGTGTAATGTACCCCCATTACATCAGGTGTGTATTCCTGTCCCCAGCCCTCTCTGCTGACTACTTAGGAACCCAGATTCTAGGGAGAGGGCCTGGCCTTTTGTTAACTGGGGGTCAGTGAGGGCAGTGAGAAGATCCCGGAAACGGAGATCAGGAGTGGGCATTCCAGCAGCATGACATACTCACCTGGAAGCTGTCCTCTTGTAGGGTGACAACCCCAGGTGGCCCTTGGCTGTCCTAAACAGTTTTTTATAGCTCCCAAGAACCCACAGTTTAGCCAGCAGCTCAGCTCTGAATGCCAGGAGAATGCTGAGGAGGCCTGTTCCCCAGCTGCCCCTCCTACCTTCCCCACCCACTGACAGGGCCTCAGATACCTCAGCCTCTGCAGCCCTTCCTTCTTGCTAGCCCCTTCTGTCTTTAGCCACCGCCCTCATTGCTATCCTTCTTCTCCTCCTCCTCTGGGACCTGCCCCTTCCAGGCTTGGCACCTCCTTCCAGCCTTCCCCCATCTTTGCCCCTCCTTGTACCACCGAAGTGAGCATGAGGGTTAACTGGGCACAGTCAGACTGAGGCATGGCTCTCACCTCTCAGGACTATGATTCTGCCTGCCAGGTGGTTCCCATTTTACAGGATGCTTGAGGACTGAATGGTGACCAGGGTGAGGAGGAAGCCCTCTCCTCCAAAGAAGGGAAGCACCCCATCCCGCAGGAAGGCTTGCAGAGACTTACAGGGAAAAGTGGCCATGGGGAAAGAGAGTAGGGTAGCAAAGGAGTCTGGAAGCAGCATCTGGGTCAGGCTCAAACCAGATCTGAGAGTCCCCAGGGGTTTCTTTGATTCCTCTGGAACCCACTTTGGTGACAGTGTAGGTGTTTGTGCAGTGAGAATGAAGAGGACAGAAAGAACGTTCTCCCCCAAAGCCCCAGGCCTCCTTGAAGATGTGTTGATGGTAAAATGAGCTTTGTGTAGAGCACTGGAGCCGTTCTCCCCAGGAATTCCAAGAGCAGACCTGGGCAATTTCTGAAAGCCTTTGATCTGTACTCCACCCCCACTGCCTTCACTCAATTCCACTGGAAGGTCTGAGCATCCAGCCAGGGGTTATTAATCAGAGCTTTGTGAATACAGACCCTGAGACCATAACTTCACATATCTTTCTTCCTGTCAGTCCTTATCTGGCAGTCTTGAGGAACCCCAGGACACCACCGGCATGTTAGGTTAATTGGATAATTGGAAGTCTCTGGGAGTCTCCTTTGAGTTCTTCCCCACCAGTGTTGTCACTTAAGTTGGTGTCACCCAGTAACTCATGGTGTCAATCCCTGCATGGACCTCCTCCTGAACCAGACCATACAGAATTCTTGTTGTTGTTATGTGCCATCGAGTTGGACCCGACTCATAGTGACCCCTCCTTGGGTTTCTGATGCAGTATCTCTATGGAAGTAGATTGCCCCATCTTCCTTCTGAGGAGTGGCTGGTGGGTTTGAACCGCTAGCCTTCTGGTTAGCAATCCAGTGCCTTAGGCACTATGCTACCAGAGCTCCTCACAGAATCCTTAGTAATGTTTATTATCAATTTTAATTATAGAATACTGTGATAAATATAAAGGAGCTCTCATGGTATAGTGGTTATGGCATTTGGCTGCTAACCAGAAGGTTGGTGGGTTGAATCCACTAGCTGCTCCATGGAAGACAGATGAGGCAGTCTTCTTCTGTAAAGATTTACAGTCATGGAATTCCTTTGGGGTCTCTATGAGTCGGAATTAACTTGATGGCAGTGAGCTTGGGTTGTTTTTTTTGTGATATATATATATAGTGGTAAATTGCTTAAATGTAGTATCTCTTAGATTATATGAATACCAATGACAAAATATTTTTGTGAAATCTTTCTACATTGAATTACAATATTATTAATTACAACACTATTAGGAAGACTGAAGAAGAGTTGATGCTTTTGAGTTGTGGTGTGGGAGAAGAATGCTAAGAGTACCATGGTCTGCTAAAAGGACTAACAAATCTGTCCTGGAAGAAGTACAGCCTGAATGCTCCTTGGAAGCGAGAATGGCCAGACTTCGTCTCACCTACTTTGGTTATGTTGTCAGAAGGGACCATTCCCTGGAGAAGGATATCATGCTTGGTAGAGTAGAGGGTCAAAGGAGAAAGGGAAGGCCCTCAACAAGATGGGTAGACACAGTGGCTGCAATGATGGGCTCAGGTATAGCAGGGATTGTGAGACTGGCACAGGACTGGCCAGTGTTTCATTCTGCTGTGCATAGGGTTGCTATGAGTCGGAGATGACTTGGTGGCACCTAACGACAACAACAACATTAGTAACTAAGTGGAAGTCTTTTTTGATTTTCCTTCTTCTTTTCCTATTTCATTCTTTAAAAAGTTATTGATATAGTTCACAAATACTACTTACCACAAAATATTGTGGCTAAAACACCAGAATATGAGACAAAAACAGCGACTATAAAAACAATGGCAGTAATGAAAACAACAGCATATGCTTGTAGTGAGTGCACTGCTGATGAAACCATGTGATATGAAGCATCATTGTGATTGGGTAATCACGATAGCTCTGACCAGAGCACATTAAGAAAACCAAACCAATGCTATCAAGTCAATTCCAACTGATAGTGGTCCTATAGCACAGAGCAGAATAGCCCCATAGGATTTCCAAGGCTGTAATTCTTTAATGAAGCAGACTGCTTCATCTTTCTCCTGTAATGTGGCTGGTGGGTTTGAACCACCAACCTTTTGGTTCACAGCCAAATGCTTCAACCCTTGCACCACCAGAGCAGAGTAGATATCCCAAAAGTAAATTAGCACAGTTTTATTTAGCCTCGTAGGTGTATTGATACTTGTAAGCTGGGTTTATGAAAACTGTTTTTGTTGTTATAGCTGTGCAAAAAGGACAAGAAGGCCACATCTTCTGACCTCCTCTAATCCCACAAGAGGAAGACAGAATCACCATCAATAGCCCAAGGCCTATTCCTGCAAGGCCAGACATGCTGCCTCCCTCCAGCCCTTTCTCCAACCGTTCCTCCCAAAGCACCCACCACCTCTCTCCTGGGTTTGGTAATTCACTGCAGTGGCCACACAGAACTCACAGATTATGGGGTTTATTAGGGAAGCATCAGGCTACAATTCAAGTTCAGGAAAAATGCTCAGTCTCTCTCCCAGCCCACCGTCTCTCAGCCAAGTCTCTCACAGTCTCTCCCCCACCAGTGCATGTCCCTCGGTGTCTTACTCAGCAACACGTGTCTCTTGAGTCTCTTTCCCAGCAGCATGTGTCTCTTTCAGTAGCGCGTGTCTCTTTCAGTAGCGCATGTCTCTTTCAGCAGCACGTCTTCCTCAATCAGCAGTCAGAGAGAGTTCTGCCTCTAGGAGGCCTCCTTTTGAGCCCGGCAGAGTGGTCAAACTAGCCAATCATAGCATCAGAACTCTAAGCACCTGAGAGAGAGTGGGAACCTCCCAGAACATTGCATTTTGCCACGCCCAACAGAAATAACCCAGGTAGATAACATTTACAATCAGGAGCTCCTCATTTGCTCATTCCACCACTGAGTTTACAATGACTTATGGGTAGAAAAGCCATACTAAGTAATTTACTACACTGCAAGATGACCATGGGGATAATTTTATATAAAACAATACATTTCTGCTGAAACACAGCACAAAAATTTTATAAGCAGTCATTTGGGCATCACCCTCTCTGACAGTGTCACCCAATATGATCCATAGAACCTACACCCCCCTATCCCCGCCAATGACGCTGCTGTTCCCTATTCCAAAGCCTCTAAATCTTTATCTGGCTCCTGGCTGGTGAGTCTGGGGCCAGTGCAGGCACCACTCTGGAGGCCTCAGGTCTAGGCCCTAAAGGCAGAAATGTTTGCCTGTATGACACAGGAGGCTAAGTGAGAGGGAAGAACTGAGAGAAAGGTGAGAAGGTGAGGGGTGGTGAGAGGCTTAGAGGAAGCAGTGTGTGGGTCAGTGGGTGGCCTGAAGTAAGACCCATACCTCTGCTATTGCTTGGTTCACAGGGCACAGAATAAAAACATCAGGCTTCCCTCAGCCAAGCCCACTATAGCATGGTGA